AAGCGATCGGCGATGTTGAATCAGTGTCATCGCAATGTTGTTGTATACGACCAAGGATAAAATCAAAGGTGGCTTTTGATACACGAAACGTTTTCTTGAACCTCTGATCAGTGTATGTGTTCCATACTTCTTCGAACCATCCCTTGTTACGGGGAAGCCGTCGACATGATCGATCAGCAGTGGTTTTCTCGGAAGAAATAAGAAGAGCAGAAAGAAAAAAAACTTCTAATAATAACATTCGCCTGACGGTCAAAAGGAAAAGGATTTTCTGCTGCATTTCTTTTCTTCTCGTCCTCGAGTTTTGTAAGAGTTTTACAAGTAGCAATTTACGCTGGAGGTTACGGTGCGGCGCCATTTTCGTCACCGCTTACCGCTGTACTGACTACTGTGCGAACGCTGAATTAAGTTCGACTCTGGCACGACGTCTGAATTCAAGTCGTGCTTGTGCCGTGCTTCTGTCCAACCCAATATTAATTAGGTTCGGCACGGCAGAAGCACGACGTATGAACTGGGCCTAAGATCCAGGAGAACCAACAAAGTGACCTTTGTGCTTCCATGCTCATAAGGAATGCCGTTCGTGACTTTCGGTAGTAACGACACAGTCTGTATCTTGGTTTTGCTTGCAGACTGCAGTTGAAGTCATATGATCCGTAAATTGTACAGCTGCTCTTTCAGATACTTTTAAGTAAACAGGATTTTTCACCGGGTTAAATTTTGGTATATTCATTTATTTATTTATTTGTTTATTTTTTATGTCTGCGATGTAAACATACACTGCAATATTGGACATTAGTATTTACTAAAATAGCAATTTCCACGCGTTTTGATTTGTTCCCGTAACTCGGAATATCCTTGGCTGTTCCGGTGTATGACATTTGCAGACTGCAGACCGCAGACTGAGTTTAGTTTCATCTGTGGTGCAGGCTAAATTGCTAGCCTGTTGCTATGGATTCATGAGCGAATTTGTGACATCGGCAGATATTATTCTGCTCTAATTCAATACGAGAAGAACAGCCAACTACTCCTTCAGGAATGAGGTTGGTGTAATTTGCGTGAAAAATATAAACTTCGCTTCTAGGCCTTACATGTACTTCTCGGAACAAGGTAATGTTGATGATGATGCCACCTTTATTACGATATTTTTGGTTTCATTCAATTTACAGTCTTGCTGCCTCATGCAGTCTGCCATCTGCAGCCTGCAGTCTGCGGTCTGCAGTCTGCGGTCGGCGGTCTGCAGTCTGCAGTCAGCGGTCTGCGGTCTGCGGTCTGCAGTCTGCAGTCTGCAGTCTGCAAATGTCATACACCGTGGCTGTTCACTGTTTTGCGACAGAAGCCAAAATGGCGACTCGTTTCGAGACAGTTTTCGGAAGACGAAATAAGTGCGATAATTGAAGTAGTCGCACAAACAAATACCAAGAAAGCAAAGAACTTTGGCTTGTCGGTGTTCACTGGTAGGTAGAAATTATTTCCACGCTGAATTTGCAACAAAATCGTAAAATGCACTTGACAAAATCCCCGAAATGTTTGTAAGTTCCTACTAAGTGACGTTTTTAATTTACAAAAAGTTACTTTTTTGCAGTTTGATGCGGCCAACTGATTTGGTAAATACTAAAACAACTATCCGCTCTAGAGTCGGTGAACAGCGCTAGATATATACCTTGACGCTTCGAGTCTTGATATAAATTATTTCCACACCACTATTCACCTCCCCTTCGGGGGACAGTTGTATATTATTCAAGCTACCCGTCATCTTTCCACGCGCTGGTTTTCAAGAGCGACAGAGTCGGGGTCGGAGTCGTAATCACAATAAAGCGTAGAACTTTACGATCTAGTGAAAACAGCGCTCTGATTCTTCTGATTCCGCTTACGACTCCATTGTTTACGATCGAGTGAAAACTGGGTCGTCGGAGTCGCAAGCAGAAGCGGAAGAGCTAAAACAATCACCAAGCGTGGGAACGTGCATTGTGATTGGTTTATCCTTTCTACTTCCCACGCCGGCAATCTGGTTTTCATTGTACTATCTAGATCATAAGAGGAAAGTAAGCGACGAAGTCGTAAGAGGAGTAGGAACAAAATGAAAACGTTCTGATTCTTCTGACCCTATTCCGTCGCGCTTAAGACTCCGCTTACGACTCCGACTCTGTTGCTAGTGAAAACCAGCCTTTAAGGACTTGTGAGATAAAAATGATGTCCGTGGCCGGCATCGCCTTTTCGGGGGGGGAGGGGGGTGAGCAGGTTATTGTTTATTCTTTACGACAGGAAATGGAGAACTTTTAGGATAATGCTGCGTCGCTGTGGGCGCAGCTGGCTGTATGGGGGGGGGTGTGGGCGGTCATACTTGTTTGCGTTGAGCCGCGCAGGCGGTGGGTGGGTTTTGGTCGGAAATAGGCGTCTTTATTTTTTGGGGGGGGGGGGGGGGGGGGGATGATCGTCGTTACTTTTTTAGATACATGCGGTAGCGACCGTAGATGTCTTCACGTCACAGCAAGTAATAAGGACGTAGAACTCGCCGAATCTGTACATTTTGCAAGACTATTAAATCGTCTTCTCTCTTTGAGAGAGATGATATATGATGTATTAGCACTGAAATTTTACGTTTATCCGTCGATTCTAAAGCGCGTGCGCGGATGGCGGGTATCGTGAATAAGGTTTGAATATGGTCTTTTTCGTCATTCAATATTAGCGGAGCACCATGGGTAATAAAATGTGGTAAACTACCCATCCGAGAAAATTTGGTCATCACGTGACCGTACACCGACCGACTGCCCGACCGTTCGTCCGCACCACAGGCATACCAATGTAAAAAAACCTCAATCAACAGGTATGGCAACCCAAATGCAACTCGAGGTTATTTTGACGGGAAGTCGCACAGCCACCCGCGTCTTGTGAAGCAAAGACAACTAAAGAGTCAATGAAGACTAAAACGGAAAGCGGAAATTGTCTCTGTACCCGTGTCTTCTAAAGTATTAAGCTTAGATTAATTGTCATGTCCACAAATTTGGAATATAGAGCAAGAGAAAGACAGAGAAAAAGAGAAAGTAGGCGGCAGGCCAGCGAAACTCAACCAGAAAAAGGGCGACAGAGATCTAGAGCGAGAGATAAAAAACAAAGGAGACATTTTTTTGTTGGAGGAATAACATGAAAATTTTGTAGCAGCGGTAACGAAATGAGAGATACTAGCGGCCACCAATGCAAGGTGAAAATGAGCGGCAGTGAAAAAAAAGTGAAGAAGAAAACGTACGACACTTCGTCCATAAAACGTGTAACTAGGAAGTTTCTGGAAGTTTCACGTTGTAGTCGTGCAAAACAACGGCAAAGAAATGTACATAAAAACTGTGCTGCACGTGCAAAGTTGCTTTTAAGCTAATTAGACCTATTGTTGTTTTTCACCGTTCTCCGCCGTTGCCTTCGCAGCTTAGCATTACACGATTTTATATTTTGTTTGAGCAAACTATAAATTATCGACAGCTTCGCTTTTAGCCCTGGCTAAATCTATATATTATCGTTTTTCTAATTTACGCCTAATTGTAATAACGTTCGGCTGTCATAGAATTGTGCTTAAAAAGGGAATAGGAAAAAAATAAGTAGGAATAAATTAAGTACTCTCATGACACTCCAGGATCTCGTCTGATAAAAGAAAGAAGACGACAACATCTTTACACAGTTTCCAATTTGCCTTCTCTTAACTCAGTTGATGTCAAATTGATTATTATATACGGTAGGCAAAACTGTTTTTAGGATTATCAGTAATTTGCAGGGCTAATTTATTCTTAAAAATTTTGCATTTTCATTTTTTGTGTGTGTTTGCTTTAATATTTTGTATCACAACCTCAGTGCAATTGCGAAGTGTATAAAGTAAAAATGCCCAAGTTTTCCATTGATTCTTTCTAACCCTATAGACCTCCCGCAATCAAAAAAATTAATATCTGTAGTTTCTATTTTAAACAACTAAAAAATTGCTCCTGTACTAATTAAAAAAGCTCTAGGGCAAATCCATATCATTTCCCAGTATGCACGGCTAATCAGATTTTCTCTTGGTAAATGTAAAACAAACTGTGACTTTGTTATTTCCAGTAATGTGGTGAGACCTCGTTCCTATTTAGTTACAAGTCCTTTATTTGTAGCAATGATTTTTTTGTCGGTTAGAGTTGAAATTGTATCTTACACTGCTTTTTGATAAAAAAAAAATGTTTATATTTCAAGCTATCCGATCATGAGAAATCTAATTTCCGTCTTTTTTCACTCGAGTGAGAGATATCCCATTATCTTTAACTGATAACAAATAACCTTAGTTTGTAACTTTAGCACTCAAGAGGACTGGCAGCCGAGCAGTCTTACAAGTTCCTTTTACCCTGTGTAGGACATCTGATTTCAAAAATGCAGCCACATATAATGAAGGTTAAATGTTTTCACGTTAGACTATTCCAATTAGAGAAAAATAACCTCGCAGAATTTCACTAGTTAATTATAATTAATTTGGAAACTGAGCACAGTCTAAAAACTGAATATTATCAGATGCTGCTTGATTGACGTTTTCTCTTTTTTTAACGGCTACTGGAGGATTTTACCAAAAGTGACTGTGTTGTTTTCAATTACATCTCCTTTTTGAGTAGTTGTATTATATATTTTTCAGTATCTGAGTCTGTAATTATTCTCTGCACGGTGACAGGTGCTATAACGTATTTGCGATGCGATTAAAAACGAATGCAAATTTCGCATTATGGAGGATTTTACCAAAGTGACTGTGTTATTTTCAATTACATTATCTCATTTTTGGGTAGTTGGATTATATATTTTTCAATATCTGAGTCTGTAATTAGTCTCGGCACAGTGACAGGTGCTATAACGTGTTTGTGATGTAATTAAAAACTAATGCAAATTTCGCATTATGCTCCTGATTAAAAGGAATACGAAGTGACTTTAGCTATTCACAATTAACGACCAAATGACAGATATACTCTTGTCCGAATTTTGATTTAAGGTTGTTTCTCAACACCAGGATGATTGACAATTCAACACAACTCAACGCAAGTATGGCCGCCGGTCACTTTACCTGCCACGATTCGTCAATTTTCCTCCAAGCCCCGAGTTCGCTCCACACAAACTACATCATATCTGCCACCTTTAACATCCTTTTCTCCTTCACGGCATTTATTGGTAACGCCATTATTCTCGTCGCGTTGAAGGAAGCAACCTCCATAAATCGTGCGTCGAATTCTTTTCTCTGTTGTTTAGCCATGTCTGACCTCATGATTGGTCTTATCGCACAGCCAGTGCATGTTATTTACTGCATATATGGCGTTATTGGAGGCCCCCAAGTTCGATGTTACTCTCGAACAATTTTCCAGTACACCAGAGATTACTTCATCGCGATATCGTTTCTCACCATTGTGGCTATAACCTTGGATCGTTATCTCACGTTATGTCATCGTCACAAATATCGTTCCACAATGACACCTGGAAAAACACGCGGCCTGATCGCTTTTTTGTGGGCTGTATGTCTCTGCTTTCCATTAGGTCGACTGGTGAGCCCCTCGACTGCAATGATTCTGTCCTCTGCTGTATTCATCGCTTTTCTGGTCATTCCATCTTACTCCGTTTACAAGATTTACCGGTTTCTTAAGCAGCATAAGCTTCAAATGACGTCCCAACTGCGGCTTCATACCTTAGAAAACCACAAGATGTCTGGTTTCAACGTTTCTCAGTTTCGAAAATCAGTAACAACAATGTTATTTGTTTACTTCGCTCTGTTGCTGTGCTTTCTACCATCTGTTGGGGTTACAGCTGCTTGGTTGACCTCAGATCGAGATCAGAAGCTCGCCCTGGTACCGATTGGAAATTTCTCACTTACAGTTTTAATGTTTAATTCAAGCCTCAACCCTTTTCTCTACTGTTGGCGAATTCGAGAGGTTCGTAAAAAGACACACGGCTTGTTAAAAAAAGTATTTTTCTGTTCATCAGGAAGTCTTCGGGGCAGTTATACCTTCGATAATTAGACGTCTGCTCAGTAAAATTTGTAAGGATCAAGTAATAAAGGAGGGATTTAGGAATTTAGGGAGAAGTGACCGGAGTAGCTTCAGAGATATTGTAAAATCATTTTTAACGACTCACTTTGCCAGTTAAGAATGTCCAAAAACTAATCAGGCTTTCAGTAAGAAAAACTTTTTGCAGAGAATTATTTAAACTCTTAACACAATTCAGACAAAGGGGAGACTGTGGGGTTCGCCCCTCTTTTAACCTGACCATGTTAATATATTATTAATTAATTTAACTTTGAATTAAAGCTGAAAGGCAGGGGTTCACAAATGTCTTCAATAAAACACTCGCCCGCGGATCGTGTGCCACTTTTTTGCTCTTTACCACATTTTGACGTCATCTGTGATCTATAACTGAACAGGCGCACGGCAACATGAAATCTATTTGTTAGACCCACCTTACAGAAGTAAACTTTGTGGCAGTTGTTAATGCGTCTTCAAGAGCAAAAACCCCGTCAAGTATCCACCCGAGCTAATGCTGAAAAATTAACGACTTTCAATTTTAATTTACTTTACGGCCCCTGGGGAATGTAATAATACCAGCATCCGTTATAACAAGTCAAATTATGCCTTGGGTAAGGAAGCAGGAAGCTCAGCTTATAATGTATTAAACTAAGCTGACGTTGTGCTTGATTGCTGTTTTGAAAAAGTGAGGCGTAAAAGTAGTCATTATGTCCAAGAGGCATAAGTCGCTAGTGGCCGATCGCAAGGAGAGGCCCTGGAGAGGTGGGGAGAGAGGGGGCTCGGGTCCTAACCTTACTTATAGGCCAGACTGAGGCTATAGCCGAGAAAAATGGTTTTGAGTGCGGACTCCCTCTTATCTCAGGAGGGTCTGGATCTGCCACTGTACACTCAGAATAGAACGAGCACGTTAGAAATGAAAAACATTACTGCTTATAATAACACAAATCAATCTAATTCTCAAAACTGCCAAATGAATGATTTATAACGTTCTTTACTTGTGTTTAATGTCTGAATCTTTTTCCTCCACTAGCTGCTGTATCTCTTCTGGGATGCTTTTGAAATTCATTGCTTTCTAGCTAGAGGCTAATTGTGTTTTTGTGTTCATTCACGAAAGTGAACTGGCACTGGTGTTTTTCTTGCTTTCTGCCACGCCATTTTTTACCATGCTTGGCACGTCCTGTTTCATCCTGAGAATTTTCTCAAGGCCAAGTGACCGAGAGTCAGCCAAATCTGGGAATATGACTAAATTGAAGGGGTTATTCACTCATCAAAACGGTCGTTACACAAAACCCATGGATAATATTATCTATGCTAAAACCAAGTCACTAACAACTATTCTCCTCAGTGCGGATGAAAAGCGACGGCAATTCAAATTCTATCCGTCTTTTCGTAATTTTCAAGTTAAGAACGACCATTTTTTGACGAAACAAGAACGCTCTTAAGAGTAGTATGTCTCGCTTGCTTGTAGATTAGGTAAGAAATGAGGAGGTGATTAATTCTACACGAAACAGGATTTCCTCCCTTAACGTCTTTCACCTCCTACTTTATCGGTCGAGTCTTCAGGATATTTGCTTTTAATATCGTAATACATACATACTTAGAATGTTGGAGTAGGATTAGGAAGACAGCCATAGGATGATGTGAACCTAATAATTATAAAGTACCAAAATAATAATTACAAAATAGAGATGGCAACAGAGACAAGAAATAAAACTACTGATTAATTTTTAAATAAAGCTAAAAAATATATTTAAAATAGATAAAATGCTTTGATTTCATTGTAATCACGGATGCTTCTTTGTTTAAAGAAAATTAAAGGCCTCTTGAGTCAGCTTTGATTTTTTTTTTCACAGAGTTTTTAAAACTGTTTACTCTGTCCAGCACATTAATAATTTTGTTTCAAAGTTCCATAACACAGGTCCTCTGTGCCTTAAGGAATGTCTACCAAGTTGGGACCTGGGCCTCGGTATAACCATTTGATTGACTACACGTAAAGATCTGCTAGAGCCGACTTTCTTTGAAAACAGTAGCCTCCCACGCAGACGTTCTAAGGGGTTCGTCACGCGTTCCTGCCCCATTAATGTCTGCTGAAACGAAGAGCCACTTCAGTTTGTAGATGCGGACCAATCAAAGGCCGTTTTCTAACTTTGGGTAAACTCTAGCATGTTATTAAGAGTATTATGCGGGACCAGATAGCGGGCTAAAAAAGTTAGGTGCCGTGTTAATGTCCCAAACGTTTGGTATTGGGGCGTTGAAACCTATCTCCAATTTTTGCAGAAAAAGGTCGATATGTTTTAACTGGAGGTAAAAGGTCGCCTATTTATCAAGCTTTACCTGCGTTTGTTTTCGACTCAATTTTTGAAGGTACTGGCCATGTTCTTGTTGCGGTTTCGCCGCTTTTAAGTAGTATCGAAAACCAGGTCGATAAGCTGGCAAATCTTGGTATTCTTATCGCTTCGCTAGTGATATCAGTGAAGAAAATGCAAGGCGTGTACAAGCAAGGAAACGTTTGGAGTATACAAGGGGTGTCAGGCCGTATTTCTGAGACGGTGTGGGATTTTACATTTGCTTTATCGAGAAAATCTCTTTCAGTCTTTTTGTACGCTTATTTGTTCATTGCTGTATCTTTTTTCTGTAGTGGGCAAATATCGACTTGGTACATTTTGTACTTGGCGGTGGAAAATATAAGCATGCATCGCGCCTAGCAGATAAACGCGGTTTTGATTAGGCCTTTCATGTCAATAGCACTGATAGAATCAAAAATCGATCCCTATCCTTACCTAAGATACAAGCACAAAGAAATCGCTCCGAATTGATAACCTTCTTAAGAGTTGAGCGACGCTCCACGCGCGCAGCCCCATAGCTAAGGAAATGTGGTAATCTTCCCTCCGAGAACATTTGGTAATCACGTGACCGTACACTGACAGACCGTCCGCCCGCCCGACCGTCCTTCCGCACCACAGGCATACCAATGTAAAATAACTCTGATCAACAGGTATGGCAACCCAAATGCAACTCAAGGTTTTATTTGGAAGGAAATCACAGGGCCGCCCGGACTATTAGAAAGAAAAAACAACAAAAAAGTCGTGTCTTTTTCGATGTTATTTTTTATGCTTACACCAACGTGGATAACAGAGAAAGAGCTAGAGCGAGTTATTGAAAACAAAGGAGACGAATTTCGTTGGAAGAAAAATATGGAAATTCAAAGCAGTGGTGATAAAATGAGAAATGCTAGCGGCCAGCAAGGTGAAAATGAGCGGCAGTGAAAAATAAAAGCGAACATGGACACAGGAAAAAAAATATTGGGTAAGCACATACGACAATTCCTCCATAAAAATAATGTGTAACTACTGGTAACTAGGAAGTTTGACGTTTTAGTCGTACTAAAAACAGCGTTGTAGTCGTGAAAAACAACGGCAAGTGAAAGACAAAAAGAGTGCTCCACGTGCAAATTTATTTTTTGCTAATAAGAAGAAAAAGTGTCCTAAACGTGCAATTTGTTTTTTTGCTAATTAGATCTATTAGTCTTGAAGCCATTTTCATTGTCGTCCCAGTTTAGCATTACACGATGTAATTTTTTTTGTTTACACGCATTATTAACCAGAGCTTCGCTCCTGACCAAATCTATATATTATCTTGAAATAAATCTCTTGCAAATAAGATTTTCACGGGAAGGTACTTCATCAGGAGCCTATGGCTAGTGATGAGCTCCAGACTTCATCGGCGTTTCAGTGCACCAACCTTTTGTACAAAACACTTTCTTTCTCAGACGTTTGGCCGCGAAGCCCGGTGCACCGAAGCACATTCTCGTCCCCTGCAGAGCCACTCGGCATAGCTTGAAACGCAGCAAGACGATGTGACCAAGAAACGACGGGCCCTGGAGACGAGACGCACTGATGCACAGGAGAGAGGCCTGGGATAGACTAAATCTTTGCTGTAGAATCAATGTGTTAATTACATGACGCACAAAGCATTCACGTAAAGATGGCTGCGCTGTTGTTCTCACTTCCAAGCTTAGAATATTCAAGAATACTTCGGATTTCCTGGATCGTTGCCGTCTTAGCTCACTCAACTTATGTTATTTACAAAAGTCTTAAGGGATCTGTGCAAACTGCTCCAAAAAAGACTCCGAATTCATCGCAAGTGCTGTTTTTCCCTGACAAGAATCTTGTTTGTAAACAGTTTCTTTTCGAAGGAGAATGCAATCGCCGACGTTGCCAGTTTGCACACGAAGAAACTTCCTTGAGTAAGCTTATAAGTGTACTTTTAGAAGCTACAGAAAGCCTTGATGTGTGCGTATTTACAATCAACTGCAGGGAACTTGCAGATGCGGTCGTTAAACTACACAATGATGGAGTTGTTGTTCGCGTGTTGACAGATGATGAACAAATGGGAACATCTGGTTCACAGATTGAGAAATTTAGACGAGAAGGCATTTTGGTAAGACATGACCTATCTTCATTCTTCATGCACCACAAGTTTGCTGTTATTGATCGAAAACAGCTCGTGAATGGCTCGTTCAACTGGACTAGACAAGCAGTTACTGGAAACCGTGAAAATGTGGTGATAACAAGTGATCAACGAGTTGTAAACGCTTTCTCAGAGGAATTTGAGAGATTATGGGAGGAGTATGACCCTTCTCACAGATCATAGGCAGCTAATAAGGCTTTATCATTTATGGCTTTAATAGGAAGTCGTTATGGAGGTAAGGGGGTTGGGGGAATAGGGCTGTTAAAAGAGAGAATGATTTGCACAGGCAAACCAAGCTTACGTTATGAGGGTGGAATGTAATTTACATTCCATAATGAGAGCAAGTCAGTATCATGTCACAAATACTGAGCTCAATGATCGTCATATTTTATCAATAAAATGAATAAAGAGGATTTACCTTTGATGTATTTCTGCTTGTTTTGGTGTGAATTCATCAGTTCACTTGATGACTACATTGATTAATTCACACCAAAACACACAGAATTACATCAAAGATGTTGATCAAAAGTAAAATATAGCAATTTTTAGCATTTGCAGACTTCAGTATCCTGTTTCTCAAACAACATCTTGATGATCGCTTCTAGGATGATACCATCTCGCTGGTGTCACAGGATGTAAATTACACTCAACCGTTGAAATGTAAGCATGAGATCCCTGTGGTATTGGTTAAGTATTGAATTCACCCCGTTCTCCCCTTTAAATTCAACAATTTTTTGTCCAGAATTGCCACACATTGCTTTTGTTTCGGTAATTACATGTACATCAGATCTCTGTTCCATGTACACTTACACTGTTTAATTAGTTAAGCCTATAAATAATTATACATTGTGTGAAGGTTCACTCCTGTTCCAGTTGCTATGCCTTCCCCTCCCTCCCCTCCCTCCCCCCCCTTCGTCCCCCTCCTTTGTATTTCTGACCCCTACCAGTAGATGACTAGGGTTAGTAATTAATATTATTTATTTGATCCACCATTTCACATTATCATAATATTATTAATATTATAGTTTTGGAATGTTGCAGTTAGGTATTGTTAGTATTTGTAATCAATTATTTTTAATGATTTGGTATTTTTAATGTCCCACTTTCCCCTCCCAAATCAGTTGTCAAACAAGATTGATTGTAGACAGGAAGGTTGCTAGTGCCATATCATTTTAAAATCTATCTACTTAAAAATTCTTTCTGACTTCTATTCTGTTTAATTAGCAGTTTTATTTAACTGTAATTTACAAAACATTTAGTCATGTTCTCTGTATTTTCTTTAAAACTACATAACAGTGGTGGTCCAAGAGAAGGGACCCCACCACATTTTTATGACAAACTGAGACCTGCAAAGCCCAGAAAAATCATTTTTGTCACTGGGCCTCCTTGTGTCTTTTTTGAGTGGATTAGCAAGTCCCTCACTAATTTATAAAAGATATGAATCCCCCACTGGACAGTGATAGTGATTAACAGGAAATGTTTGGAAATTTAAGTGCCTGTGCCTTTACATATGATGTGATAATATTTTTTACAAACAATGTTAGATTGGAAGGCCTGTAAATTATTTCAACCGACATAAGAGAAATTATCTCCAGTTATAGTTGAAAGGGTGTGTGGAATGGAGCCCTCAGTGACTCTTGATGTAATGTAAATTTTTCCATTACTTTACAATGAAATAGAAAGCAATAGAGAAATATCAATCATCACCTAACGCTAATTTTCACACACCTCTTTGATTATGTTTTTTTAATAGTGAAGCAGTGTTGTATGAAAATACCCTTTTTAATCGCTATTATAAAGTCAACAGTTTATCAGTACTTTTGATCTAAGAAAATGCAATAAATTGATCTTAAAATAATTTTATTACGTGGACAAGAGAGAAGATCAGTATTCCTGAGTGTTCTACCTGGCTAAAGGGGTTTAATATCAAAAAAAAGGGAAGAGAAAAAAGAGAGAAATATTTCAATGTTCCTAGTTTTGCACCCCGTAAGCTGACTTATTTGCGTTCGACGTAAGGAGTACGCAACCCAG